AAATAAAACAATGGACAAGAAACAAAGTTTAACCACCCCTGACAAGTTTTTAAAAGCATTTATTGTCATGAATTTAATACTTTTAGAACCTTGCAGGTTTTTTAAAAATGCCCTACGAAAGATGCAAAATTTGGCGATTTAGCTCAATTTCACGCATATATTCTGGAGAAAATAAATACTGTCAGAATATTCAAATACATGCCCCGAAATAATTGTTCTATGCAGAACACATAAAACACACACATAAAATACTGAATTATACACCAGAGAACGCTTCAATAATCACTATAAATCCAAAACTGTCAAGAATTTATAAATCAGGAAACACAAACACACAAATAAATCGTTGCCAATGAACTGTTCATCAGAGAACACTATATTGTTAGTGAATTATACACCAAAGAACACTTCACTAGTCATTTGCAATCATCTCCTTAATACTTTGCTTTGCACTAGCTGCAGTTTTAAGAACTTCACGATTATTTTGCTCCTCTTTCGACTGAATTGGTGAAAATCGGATTTGATTATTTATCAATTTCGGCAAATCTCTCTTGCTATTAAATTCAATCGGATATAGCAAATTCAAAGGTCTACCAAGAATTTTTTCCGACTTTGAGGTAACTCACAGATACGTCCCATTTTCCAAACACCGCGTGGCAAATTGCGTTCATAAGAACTACATTTCCATTTTGAGCACTATAATTAGATTGTGTTTTTTACTTCGATTCTGACTGCAAACGTTCACGAAGACTAACCAAATTCTTATCTCTCCAAATTCTCCACAACTCATTTAAATTATTTTGTCCTTTTTCCATATTGCTAATGAGATATCACTTATGCTTTCACTAGGTGCAAAATCACTGTCTTTGTCTTTTGTCTCCATTTCCGAAATGCCCAAGTTCGGGTTAAGGCTAAAAAAATGATAAGGTGTTACTGTAATATTCGAGTTAATGTCGTCGGAGACATACATATACAAGCGGCCTTGAATTAACTGTTGATTCAACTTCTTTCAACGATGTTTGCATTTGAACTAAGGTCAGGAATTTATGTCCTAGAGATTAACGAAGAGATCGTTTTATGATTCCAACTAACCTTTCGTATGCTCCACCCATCCACAGAGCTAATTTCACAATGAATTTCCATTTGATTCTAATATTGGCTACGTAAGATTGCACTTCATGACTTTGGCACACATTTCGCCATATACTATTTATTGTTGACTTACTTCCTTGATTTAAGAGGCATTATCGCTAATAATTTCTGCAGGTGTTCCTCTTTGAGATATAAATCGTTTGAATCCTAGTAAGAATTCCTCCGTAGACATGTCTTGTACAAGTTCCAAATGAATAGCTCTGATAAGGAGACACGTAAAAAGGCACACCCATACTTTCTTGGGTCCGTCTTTTGTTTTTATCGACAGTGGACCAAAATAGTCAAGTCCAACTCTTGAGAAAGGAAGTGCTTCCTGAACTCTGGAAGGTGGCAAAGGCGCAAATGCAGGCATCTTATATGGCCCGCCTTCAAAATAACGGCAGGTCGAACACCTACCTAACACTGATTTAACAACTGAACGTCCTTTAGGAATCCAAAATTTATATCGAATTTTCGAAAGTGTTTGAGAAACTCCACAATGACAATTTTGTTTATGTACCTTTTCTATTATCAGATAGGTAAACCACTCATTACGCGGAAGCAAAATCGGTTGTTTCGCTCCTTCAGTTATTCCTGCATTTTCCAGTCTTCCCTTGCTCCTCAAGATTCCTTTAGGATCAATAAACAGACCTAACTGTCTTTGTTGGGTAGTTGTTATCTGATTATATATACCGCAGATAGTTTCACTGAATTTTGTCCGTTGTAGGTATAGGATCAACATAATTTCCGACGTTTCCAATTCCTGAGATGTTAACGACTGGTTTTCACACTTTTGCTTTTTAATTTCCTTAATGAATCGTACGGCAAGAGTAGTAGTACGAATCAATTTGTCAACAGAAGAGAACTTGGTACTGTCTATCACAAAATGAGCATAAATATAATACATATAATCACTGTACATGCAATCGACAGATTTACTTCATTAAGAAATTCAGTTTCAAAAAATTCGGAATTCATTTCCACGACATGTGCGCTCTCAGTAACCGTATTTGGATCTTCATTTAAACTTTTCACTGTTTCGGAGGACAATTCGAAATTTTCTGTTAGCCAATGAGGACCATCCCACGAAAGTTTGTTGTTGCGTAAGTCATGTATTGTTGCTCCTCTTGTTGCAACGTCTGCTGGATTTTCTATTGATTTTACATAACTAATCTTTGTTGCATCATATGATTTTATTTCTCTGATTTGATTACTTACAAACATAGGTATTTTTTTTGTTTGTTTCTAACCATCCTATCACACATTGTGAATCCGTCCAAATATGATCCTTCATTCTCAAGTTTTAATTGCTCCTCTAAAAATTTCAAAAACCTTACACCTGTCAAAACACCAATCAATTCTAATCTAGGCACTGTCATCGTTTTAACAGGTGCTAGTCGTATTTTCGCAATCACGAGGTTGACTTTCATTTCACTACCATATTTCTGATGGAGATAGATAGTAGTAGCATACGAATTCATAGATGCATCACAAAAGCACAGTAAATTGTAGGTAATGTTTTCATTACTTTTCTTTATTAGACACCTTGGGAATGAACAGCCTGCGATTTTGCATAAGGGTAATCTGACATCTGACCACGCCTCTTTAAAAAATTATCTTTTATCACATCATCCCATGAAAGATTCTGTTTCCATAGATTTTGTAACAATAATTTACCTTTAAGTAATACAGGAGAAAGCATTCCCAACGGACCAAAAACTGATGCAATCAGCTTGAGAGCAAATCTTTTTATCAAATTATTTACACTTTGTATTTTAGATTGTCTTATTGAAAGTGTATCCGACTTAGAATTCCATGTATGACCAAGGACACTAGTATCTTTCATTTCATTTCGATATTGTTTTGCTATTGAAGCATTAACTTTATCACTGTTTGTTAGCAATTCTCTAAGAATCATGGAGGCAGTCTTGAATATTTGTTTGGATTTCAAATATAGTTCAATAGCTTCAGTTTCTTTTATTACTCCTGTCACAACGTTGTCAACATAGATTTCATTCTTTATCTTGTTATCTACTTCTGTATCATATTTTTCTATATGACTCTCCACAGTGACACCTAGTAGGTAGGAATGGGCTCGAGATCACGCCAAACGGAACTCGACAAAACCTAAATCCTTGTATATTTTTCAAGTCAGTACTTGTTTTTTCACATGATTTTGACCACATAAATCTTGTCACGTCACGTTCACTTTCTTGTAAACCTATTTGTAAGAATGCCTTTTCGATGTCTGCTATAATAGCTATTTTGTGTAGGCAGAATCCCATTCACATAAATCATGAAGCATCACTGGTCCTTGATGTATACATTCGTTAAAACTGCTATATTCTGGTTTACATTTTTATGAAGCATCGTAAACTGCTGGTACCTTTGTTAATTTTTGTGGATTTATCACTGCATGATGTGGTATATAATGTATCATATCACCTTTGGTATTATTCACTTCTTCTATAATACCTTTACTTAATTGTTCCTGAATAACAGAATAATATTTCTCGAATAGTTCTGGTTTGTTTCTTAATCTTTTGACATACGATTTTAACCGTCCGAATGACAATTCTTTATTAACAGACAACAATTCCTTTCTCTCTTCTTTACACGGCCAGGTGACATGATATCTTCCGTTTTCAAATTTCAAAGTAAATTTGAAACCTTCCATGACCTCTTTGTCTTCAGATGTCTCTTTATTTTCAACTACACCTATGGCTTCTGTTTTCCAAAGATCTAAAAGTTTTGGTTTCAAAGGAAGCGAAGAATCAGTAGATTGAAATATTTTTGTTGTAGTCTGGCAATCTCCGTGTGTTAAAATCAACAAGTTTGTTTCACTTCCAGTTTCATCAGAGTTTTCATCAGTTCTTCCTGTAAGAAGCCAGCCTAGCTTGGATGCAAGTAGATATAATCCAGATTGAATATCTATTCTTTGTGGGAGAACAATGTCCCGATAGAAGTCGTTTCCAATTAATAACTCAACACTTGAACATTCATTTTCCTCTGGAATACTGTTTGCTAGGTCTACACTATGAATTATGTCCTTGATGCCATCTTTTCCTAGAACGTTTATTTGTCTCCTTTGAATAGTTCCACTTATGACAGGAACAATGTTTGCACTTATTCTCATATGTTCTAAATTCTTTAATTTTAGCTGTAACGTTGTCGAATGTGTGTGAACTGTCTTTAGATCTTCACTACCAAATGTCACCAACTTAATTTCTTCCATCTTTTCCTTTTTTAACTTTAGTTTCTATGTTAGTTTTTACTATATATGTTCTTTATGATCCACAGTCTAATAAGATTCGCACTTCAGCTTGTTTATTACTATGATAATTCAATATTTCTGTCGTAGCATGAACCATTTCTCCTGAAGATATCATTGCATTTTCTTAAGTTATATAATTTGCCTTGGTTATGTTTGTTTCAGTTTTGTCTTGTATTGTTTCTTTCGAAACAATAGCTGTTTCTCTCTTTACAGGACCTTTAAACCTTTTCGGGCAAGACTTCGATGGTGTCCATTTGATTTGTCTCAGTATACACATATCCTACTATTTCTACAGTCAGAAGACGTGTGCCCTTCTCTTAAACATCTAAAGCAGCATCCTTTTAACTTTGACTTTCTTTCTTCAATAGTTTTGTATCTATTACATTCATCATTCCAGTGATTTTTGCTACATAATCTGCACATCTCGCTGATTGAGGTAACTAATGCTCCTCCAGAATAGTGTGTCTGTGGTTGGCTTTTATAACGATTTGACATGCTAGTATGTCTATTCACATGAGGGTTTGTTTGTTTATTCACTTATTGATTCGAGCCATTCAGAGACTATGGTTTGTTTTACGAAATATTAATTCGTATGTAAGAAATATTAATTTGTAATTACGAAATATTAATTCGTTTTTACGAAATAATAATTCGTTTTTACGAAATATTAATTCGCAATAACGAAATATTATTTCGTAATTACTAAATATTAATTCGTAATTACGAAATATTTATTCGTTTTTACGACATATTTATTCGTAAAAACGAAATGTTAATTCGTAATTACGAAATAATAGTTATTCGTAAATACGAAATAATATTTCTTAAAAACGAATTAAAGGTTTTCTAGGGTTTCAAAGAGTTTTGGTAATAGTTATTAACAAGGCCTCGAAACTAAGTTCCTGACTGAATATAAGGCATGTAAATGTAATATAAATTATTATAATAGTGATTTTTTTCTCCCCAAATGTGATATCTTAATACTATTGTATATAAATTAAATTCAAATCCAAACACGGACATTATTTTTCTGTTTCGTTTTGTCGAAATTATTGAGTTTTAAAATGTTATGTTTTCATGATCGCACGGTGCCCATACATAAATTGTAAGGAAATATACTTTTTTTAAATTGATTAGATTAGTGAAAGTCTGGAACCCCCCTCGCCCCTTTAATTTCACTAATGTATATGATAAAAGAAAGTAATAATATAGCATTTTTCTTTTTTAAAGAAACAGGTCAGAAAAGATTAATTGCCTCAAAAAATTAAAACATTGCTGATAGGAACATGTATTTGACAATGGGGAAAAAGAGCCATTTTGGAAAGAGAATGACTTCTCACTCAAAAACCCTGTTCATTTAAATATAATAACTTGAGAACCATTCGTCATATAACATTTGTATAATCGCAAGGTTGATCCAGGGTTGCAAATGATCCCTTTGTGAGATTAGTAGGTTCTTTGTCAAGCTCACAATGACCTTAAATGAGATTTCGTAAAAACGAATTAATATTTCGTAATTACGAATTAATATTTCGTAAAACGAATTAATATTTGAAATTCGTAATTACGAAATAATATTTCGTAAAAACAATTTAATTGCCGGGGAAAAAGTGTCGAAAATGTCACATTAGGGGCTCCGTACAAATGAAATTTTATGTTGAAAACAAAAATAAATACTTTGGCATAAATAAAAATAATCGTGTATTTCACGACACTCGCTATGAGTATAGGGCAATGCCATCCTGACATTCGTGTAGTAAAAATAACATTATTACTTGAAAAAACTTTAAATCTAAGTCTATGTTTTTCCAAACATTGGTAATTGACATGTCAAACAGTCGAAGCTGGGTAAGTTAATTGCAAACTACAACCGGTTATGGTTCGGGTACATGTACGTATGTCATTATACGCACTTGAAGACACACACGGTGGTGAATAATTCAAACATTAAAATTGTATGTAACACAACTTTAGATTGGTAGCTGTTGTCAAAAAAAAAACAATTCCATCGCTGTAATGAAAAAATACTTTTTCCCTTTTAGACCTATAAATTACACAATGATAACACCGTCAGTGAACAAGACATACAAAATCTGGAGAAAGAAGGGTAATCCCTTGAAAAAGGATGTTATCCGAAAGTTGGCAAATGTATATTGTTTTTTTTTTCAAGCTAATCACACGGTACAGACATACTTTTACCGTTATAGCTTTACGGTACACTGCCGATTAGTCAACCTGTTGCACTTAATTTCGAAGTTGTAATAAAAGTCTGTTTGCACCCCTAGTAAACCTAAAATATTATCAATTTCGGAATACCGCCTATATTACTGAAATACTGTTGGGAAAAGGCCTAAAAACAAACAAACAGTTTCGGAATAAGTCTATTGAAGATTCGGTTTGAATGAGTCTCTACATGAGAGAAAATGAAGAAGTGCATCATCATGTACGCCCAATATCACCAACTTCAACACTGTTCAATGTTCAACACTTAAAAGTGCTGGAAACAATGATCCTAAATGACTAGAAAAGATAACAACTCTGAAGTGGAGTATTGAATACTTCTACAAAAAACCCTATATTAATGCGCAACATATCCACTTTACAATAAAGTAGTAATTATAGCATTTTAACATATTGCGACGCCTACACATACATACATAAGCAAACATAGTAATAAGGTTATTGGATGATATTCAATCAATAGTATTATAGATAAGAAAAATTAAATATCAAACTTTACACAGGTATAAATCTTTTAAATCGTCAGAATTATAGATAATTGTTGATATCTTTGTCATATTTAGCAACTTCTGATCGACTACATGTACATACTATTGCAGGTATGATTTAAAATAATCAAACATTAAACAAAAAGTTAAATATTCCATATAAATTCTTGTTTATTATACTAGAAGAGCCGACGTTGAATCGAACATTTGAGCGCTTTAATGTTTTTTTTTCAATTGACAAACCAATAAAATAAAACAATATCATGCACATATTTCAAAACTATTTCACTTGAAAAAGATAAGTAATTACAAGTGAACATCACAAAAATCATATTTTGTTTGCATTCACTAAACACTGATAACCTGTTACAACACAGTTACAAATAAATCGTTTGTTATTTTTATAACATATGCGAGGTGTAATGAAGCTTCGTCATTAGCGGATTATAGTCGTCTTATGAATAATATTAGTCACCGCTACGTAGCACATTGTGTACATATCATATTCTAAAACGAAACCATCAGCGTTAACAAAGGTAGTCGGCGGGGACAGTTTTCATCTGAAGATTGACATTGACATGTTCGATTAAAGCAGTCATTAATGTTATTATCAAATATAATCTGAACTCAACATTGTGTCTTTACCCTCCCTTTCAATCAAATAAGCTATACTAAATTTGATTTTTTGACAGTAAAGGTTTTATATTAACATTGCGTTTATCTGACAAAAACAAGGAGTGTCCATACAAAACGTAATCAACGACTAGATCCTAGTTAGAAAAGAATAAACGTCTTAAATAGCTGCAGTTGCTCCTATAGGTCACTTAAGTTATAAGAAGCTTCACAACACTAGTTTTGTTTAGTATTATATGATGAACCTTGTTGAAAATATTCCGTTGGAATCTTGATTTATGGTAGATAGTTTTAGTTAACCTGTCACGTGATAAAATTCTACAGTTGAACCTATATCGTTTAAATAGACTTTTCACATTAATTTGCATTGATCTTAAGCTTACATAAAAGGTGCACATGAAACAGATAAAAATTTTGAACATCTGTTATATTTTATTATTTGCCGTTTTAAACATTTAGACATGTACAAAATGTATGTTTAATTCATATATTGAGATAAAATATACAAACACTCTTATGATCGATTTTCAGACGTAGGTATAACGACATTTGAAACATTGGGAAACCTAGATGTAGTTATAAATAGAGATTACGATGTTTACCACGTCCCGCTAATTAGCGTGTTTTCGTCCCACGACCCCGCCAAGTCATAAGTCGAGAGTTAACAAGTTAAAATGACGGGTATGCGGAGCGAAAACACGCTAATTAGCTAGGGCGCGAGGCGAAGTTTAAAATAAAACGTCGCCCCGCGAGAGCGCGGTGGAAAATTTAAAAAATAAAACGGCGGGGCGCAGAGCAAAACACAATTTTTAGCGGGGGCGCGTGGCGAAATTTCATAAATAAATCTTCGCCCCGCCTTCCCGCTAATAAGCGGTTCTTCGCCCCACGACCTCGCCAAGCGAAAAGTCGAGAATGAACAAGTTAAAATGGCGGGGGCGGAGCGAATCCGATTAATAGCGATAGCGCAAATAAGCGGGTTTTCGATTCGCGCCCCCGCCATTTATTTTTTAAATCAGCCATTAGAGTCATTTGCATATTGATAATTATACCATCAGTGAACAAGAGGTACAAAATTCTGAAAGAAGGGTGATCCTCGAAAGCATAAATCACAAAAAACAACAATAAACCCCTGAAAATTGCAGACTCGAATTGAATGAGCCTGTACATAAGTGATAATGAAGAGGTGCAGCATCCTGTATGCCCCATACCACCGACTTTGGCGGTAATCAATTTTCAACACTTAAAAGTACTTGAATCCATTATCTAGAAGGACTAGGAAAAATATAACAACTCTGAAGTAGAGTACGGAGCAACCTTTAAATCAGTCACACGGAACTTGACACCTTCTGTTTGTGAAGTAAACAAATCTGGAAGAAATTCACTCACTTTCGCTGTCGGTTCCTCTGTTTCTGTCTTAGAAATTAAAACTACTGCCGTCTACAAAATCAATAAAGTGATAAAAATTTGCTCCGTCACCATGTTTTCATGGTTGCAAACACGAAATCATGTTTTTGGTAAGAATATACGGTGGATGATTAAGAACTACCGGGAATTAAGCCATATATTAGAAGATATTAATTAGAATAATTCAATAATATT